TAGAAAGTAGTATCCATGGAGCAGAGGTTTTGTCCTTTTTGTTCATGCTGCCATCCCAAGCTCCTACAACATTGCCTGGCACATAGCGAGTCATCACTAGATACCTGCTGACTTAAAGGGTACAGTTGGTCCTGTGAATCCATGGGTTTCACATCTGCAGATTCAACCAAAAGCAGGTGGAAAATTCATACTGAGTATTCAAGACTAAATGATACTGAACACATACAGAGCATTTTTGATTCCCTAAACACAATATAACAATTATTTACATGATATTTACATTGTATTAGGCACTGCAAGTAATTCAGAGATGGCATAAAGTATATGGGAGGATTTATAGGTTATATATAAATACTGCAGCATTTTATATAAGGAACTTGAACACTCCGGGGTTTTCATTGCCGGGGATCCTGGAAATAACTCCCAAGAGTTCTGCAGGATAACTACACATCTATACACCTGAGGTAGCTACAAGTGTATATGAATAGATGAATCAAAATGGCTTATTCTTAAGATGAAATAAAGTAGTTACTTACAATGGCAAGTAGGTCAAAACTCCCTTCATAGGGTAATAGCTATGTAATAAATAGCATAACCCCAAAGGTAAGCCACATCTATACACCTGAGGTAGCTACAAGTGTATATGAATAGATGAATCAAAATGGCTTATTCTTAAGATGAAATAAAGTAGTTACTTACAATGGCAAGTAGGTCAAAACTCCCTTCATAGGGTAATAGCTATGTAATAAATAGCATAACCCCAAAGGTAAGCCACATTTGCCATAGACCCCTTTATAGTCATAACCAGATTCCGGTCATCAAGAAAGGAGTGAACAGAAGCAAGGAAACATAGTAACTTTTGCTGTAAGCTCTCAGAACAGTGCTGGGAAGCAGGGGCACAAAAGTGCTGCTCCCACTGGCAGAGGCTGATCCCAGCATAAGGGAGGAAGATGTCATTCTGCAGCCTGGCTCTGCATTTAGCCAAGAGAGAAGTTCAAGTTGTAGCTGTTCATGAAACAAGTCCCATAACAATGCTGCCTTAACTTAAAGCTTCTCAGTTTTTGAAATGCAGTCAGAAACAATCTCCACTGTGATTGTTTGCTTCTGTTATGAGCCAGAAATTGGAAACTATATGCCATAATTCTTAAATTAATAGGGCTTCAAAGAGGGCCTTATCTGTGTCATTATAAACCCTGGCTTGATAAGCACGGTTACTTTAATTATTAACCATTTCAGTGAGGTCTTTGCATACTTACTAAGTTCCTCAGCCACTTCGTCAAGACAGATGTCGTTATTCACCGCAGGGTTGGGATACTTAGGATATCGGGCTAGGAACTTATGACACAACAATCCTAAACTTTTCTCTTTGCGACTTGGTTGGGATTTCTCGTATTCATCTCCAGATAAATGTTCCTACAAAGGAAAAGGTAAACAGTATCTTATTCTGAAATACTTTTGACAGATTTATTAGGGGTATCTGCATTTAATGACAGAGACACTTATATTATGGGCTATTTTCAACAGCTGCAAAATTTGTGTGGGTGAAGGTGGGGAGCCAGTCTAAACTGCCTGGCAGATCTAAACAGGAAGACTGGATTAAAAATAGATCAAAGTTCAGAATTCCCAGTGCTATCTATATTTCATGGGGTCCAAACCTCCTCTCTGTGCACCAAAGGGGGCTGGTAACAGCTTTATACACCTGGCACTGCTACAGGACCCCAAGTTCCCAAGTCCCCCATTCTCTACCTAGTCATCTGCAAACCTACATGCAAACAATCTTTGGCCTCAGGTAATCCATTTCTGTTGTCGAATAACCCCCTTTTTTGATCTCTGCTGCGGATCTCGGGGCTCACGGCACTGATGAGCATTTTCAAGTTGGCTGTTGGTGTCCAGGGTTCTCCCTGGGCAATTTCCTTGGGCTTGGTGGGGGTGGTTAAAGGGCCAAGGTCAGGCTGGATCTCCGTCAACACTATATTGGCTGCAGTGGATTCTTTCAGAGGTGTCTTCATTAGTCCCCTTTTATGAGGCTCAAAAAAGAGATTTTCCTGGTTTAAAACAAGTAAACAATTAAATCCACTGTCAAGCAAGATTTATTAGATAACTTTCAATTCTAGAAACTATAAGAAATAGAATACTGCTCAGAATTACTACTAATGCCTGATAATGTTGTAAAGTTTACTAAATTAGTAACTGTATTCCAACACTCACTTGACACTATTGTCTATTTTATTGTTGTCTATTTTAATAGCTAAATTTCTCATTTTAAATTTTGCAATAAAACACAGACCTAAATTTTCCTTATGTTTCAAGAATTAAAGAGTAAGACTTGTATGTTTTTTAACTGTTTTTGGAAGTAATTTTGGATTTCAAGAAAAATCGCAAGAATAGTATCAAGAGTTCCCATATACCTTTCATTCAGCTTCCCTTAACAGGATCGATAATTTTAAGTGATCCCAAATCCATAAGAGCATCTTTTCGCTCATTCTACTGTGTACTAAGCAAAGGTCTCCATGGCAAAAACCATGGCACATTGATCTGTGTACCCACCTAGCACAACAGTTAACGTGCAGTGGGTGTTCAATAAAATACCACTGACGTGGAAGATCAGCGAGGCAGGAGACAAGGGCGAGGGCTAGTATCTATCTGATCAGACTTGGCAAAATCCCAGAGGGAGCAAAGTCCAGAGTAAGAGAGGGATTTCTGACATGGAAAATCAGTTATTTGAATATCTCACTTTATAGATGAGATGAATAAAATGAGGCACAGAGAAGCAAAAATTAGTGACCCAAGATCACAAAGCAATTTCCTGGCAGTGATGGGACTGCCAATGAGCTATTAACAGTCCATAAATATAACTAATATACACTATGTCTTCTACGTTTGGACATACGGGACTTGACACATTTTCCTGTCTATATCTATTTCAGAGAAAATGCTTACAATAGCAATAAGAAGAGACCCACTAATCGCTCAGTAACTTTAGGAACAAAGATTAAAATGGCAGTGTTTTATATGTCTGTGACCCCTTAGAATTTATCAAGTGCTTTCTGTGTATTTTTTATTGAATTCTGTAGTCTTATTCTGCAGACGAGGAAACCCGGACTGAGAGGAGAGAGGTCACACAGGACTTGAAACCGGATCTCCTCAATCCAGTATGGTGCTCATACAAGGAAGTCAAAGTGATGGACTCAATGGAGGATCCAGGAAAGATGTGCATCTGAAGGGTGTCAACCCAAAAGTGGAGTTTTTCTAAAGGCTGCATTCCTTTTCTTCAGACTATCAGAAGCAACAGCAATTCTTATTTCACAAATATCTAAAAGTTTTAGGAAAGTTGTATATCTCAACTTTTTCTTTTTACCTATTGGTAGACAGGAATTCAACAGACATCCTCCTTAACAATTATTTTGCAATTTTACAAAACATTGATCTTATAAATAAAGGTTTCATAGCTCCTTAGGTTAAAAAAGCTACTGATTTGGTAGAAAATTATCCAAAACAGAAAGCCATTCTGAAATCAAGTGGTATGGACTTCCTGAATTCCTACTGCTGGAGAATTTGAGAAATATTATAATGCAACTAACAAATTTTGTTGTTTTTAAAAATATTTTTCTCATGGCTTATCTTTTTGAGATTTCTATTAAAAACTAGCAAGATGATCTAACTCTGGGCAATTCTCCCCTTTTCCGTACTTTTACAGAAGTAGGGAAGTTCTGTAACTTTTCTAGCCATGACATGACATTACAAAGATACTGGATGTTGAAAATTTATTGCATGTAGGCTACACGGATAAGTACTGAAGTTAAAATTGAGGTTTTTGAAGTTACTGAAGTTAAAAAGGTACCTTTTCATTCTCCATTCTGTAAATTTCTCATTCATTTAGCGTTCCTTTAAAAATGGAAAGTCTGAAGTTCCTCGTATGGCTCAAGTAGTCCAATCAATTCTGTGGAAGAGTCTAGTATCCTAGAAGAAAAAAGGAAGCAAACAGTTAAAAACAGAACCAGAAGATTCGTTGAAAATTCCTTCATGAACACAGTCTTTGAAACAAAGACAAAAAAAACCTGACAAGCTACATTTACGTTTTATTCCCGACCAGAGATCGCTCCTTTGGGTAAAGATCCATCAAACGCCAGTAAATTCCTTTAGCCAACGGATCATGAGACGGATTTGTAACCCTCAGAATTTCCAGTGACAACTCTGTCCCACCTTTGAACAAGGCGCGTCATTCTCAGGGCCCCAACGAAGGGACGGTAGCAAGCAAAGGCACCCACCTGTTCACAGATCAGGGCTCCGGATGGAGCGCCCCAGCCCAGATGCCAGCTAATCAGACAAAACCCCAAGTACCTGGATAAAAGTCTGCATCGAGATGTCTGAATTTCTCGTCTGACACACACGTGCATAGGCTCAGTAGTAAAGTCTTGGGAATAGCTTGATCTGAAACTTCCAAATTCAGTCCGAACTACTAATTCCAAATTAGCTCCAAACGTACTCTGGCCATTTAAAACAAGCCTTACGATTAAGACTTTTTAAAGATTCCTTTAATGCTGCAAAGCGCTGTGTACTTGCTACTCGGGCGGAAGTTCCCGCCACGGTGTTGAATCCCACCAAGCAAGGCTGCATTTGCTCAGTAAGGCAACCAGGTACAGTGAGTCCCCTTGCCGCCACTGACTGGGCGCTCCGCGCACTTCCCCCTCTGCTGGGCCAACTGCCCCTCCCCCTCGGCCCGGTCCGCGCGCCGCAAGCCCGGCAGTTCCCGGACAGCATCCTCGCGGTTTCCAGGGCAACGATTCCCAACCAATGAGAGAGCCCGATATGGGCCTGCGATTGGTCGGCAGTGCCAGAGGCGGGTCCGGACCTTCCGCCCTCGATTTAAAAATTTGGCGCGGAAAGCCGGACCGTGGCCGGCGCCGCCCCTCAGCAGCGCGGGGCTAGAGCGCGGGCAAACCCGCGCCCGGAACCTAGGGTTCCCGGCCCCTCCCCCTCGCCCGCCCCCCACCCTTCAGCGCGGGAGCCCAGCTCCTCCCTCCACGGCCCCCGGCAGAGCGAGAGGCGGGAAACGGCCGCGGCTGCCGCTGCCTTCCCGAACCCTTTCCGGGTGCCCGGCCACCCGGCGCCGCGCCCCTCTGCGTCCCGCTGACCTGTCAATTCACCTCACGGTTGGAGTTGACCGGGCTGAGCGGGAACTCCTCGGCACCTCTTCCTGGCTCGGCCCGGGAGCCCGCGTGTCGGGCGGTCAGTGGGTCCTTAAGCTGCGCCGAGGTGGGTGCCCGAGGGGAACCCCGGGACCGGGACTGGCGGGCCAGCGGGCGGGCCGGCGGGCGGGCAGAAGGAGCGTGTCGGTCCGGCAGCAGTCAAGCCCCCGATTTGAAATTAACCCGCTCCCTGCGCGAGCCGATCCCGCGGGCCGGGAGGGACGCTCCCCTCCCCCACGCCCGCTTTTCCCGGCCCTGGACCCCGCGCGCCAATCGGAGCCTCCATACTTGCCCGCGGCGAATCAGGGTCTGGCACCTCCCTCCGGTCCCGCCTCCACGATAGAGTTGGGGGAAAAGTTAAGCAACTTTTTTCCCTCTTTTTTTTTTTTTTTTTTTGCAAGCAACCCCCACCCCTTGCTCAAAGTTGGGGGAGTGAAGTTTGGTCCGTCTGACACGCCAGCAGGGTCGCGAGCGCCCTTGATCCCCTACCTGGGGTCACCTCACCTGCGGCTCCGCCCCAGGATCCACTCACCTGCCCTCTGGACTCTGGCGGGGACTATTCTCCCCTGCGTTTTAGCATCACTTATTGTGCTGCCTGCCCACCGTGCCTCTGGAAATTGGTGTATGGAAAGAGAAGCTTCCCTTACTGGTGCTCCCAAACTCGATGGGCTCGGGGTCTCGGCCGATCCTTGAGACTCAGGTGTGAGAGAGGGACTGAAAACCCGCCAAGCCTGTTCCCGGCGTCTGCGATCTTCCCGGTTTCACCAGCTCCTCCCTTTTCCCCCTCCTAGTGGCCCTCCCTCCCTTTTCCCTCTTTTTTTTCCCGGTCTCCAAGCTTCTGCGTGGAATATTGTAGAGTCATAAAGGAGTGGTCGGGCTGGGAAAGGCTCTAGTCCAACATCCTCATTCTGCAGACCGCGAAGCCGAGCTCCGGGGCTGCAGCGCTGCCTTGCTTGTGCCGGGATTGTTTGCGCCCTCGTTGGCTTGCTCCGTTATTCTTTCCCTTAAAGCGGTTCCCCTTTTTTGGTGACCTGTGCTGGAGTTGCGGGACCATGTATTGCCCAACCGCGCCCGACCAGGGCTCGCATCTACCTACTGTTTAGTTTGAGTTCTTCCTTTTTTTTTTTTTTTAATTTAATTTTTGGTAATTTCGCGTCTCCAATTCCAGCAAGGCCCAGGGCTACGCTCCCCAGCCCCAGATTATACTACCCTGTCAACGAATCTCCCAGTACTTACTGGTCTTAAATTCTGGGACGCAATGTAAGGGCAAGGCGCTGTGATAGCGAGTCAAGGATTGCTGTGCCTCAGTGACCTGCCATAGGGTGGCGGGGGAAGGAGGGGGGCTGTCCGGGTGGTGAGCTATATAGCTTGACCTTAGGGAGCATAGCGTGGTTGCCGCGAACGTTCAGCGTTTGAGTCTTCCCAGTACTTTCCTCGCCTACAGCCAAGGCGCGGGGCCAGACAGCTTCAAGCTAGTGTTGCTCAATGAACACGTTCCCACCTTGAAATCTTTCCTTTTTGCGGTGGCCATGCAGAAGCGAATTGCCACCTATGGCTTTCAGGTTTAAAATAAAGCCTGGGCCAGGTAGTCCCTAGCATTGACTGCACTTAGTGACTGGTTCCTACTGAATTTCCGTACTACAATTTTTGGAGCAAGGTAGAGATATCAAATAAGGTGTGAGCGTGGTGCTCAATTCTGGCCTGTTTCTCTCATCCTTGTCCTCTCCTCTCTGCCTCCTCCCTTGCTCCCAGCACTTAGGAAGTGTTACTGAAAATTGCTTGCCAGGCTGGAAAAGACCAAAATGGCACTCAACGGGTTAAGCAAGCCCAGGTTTATTATTACATACCGGTGGGCCCCAGATGGGAGGATCTCTCTCTCTCACTGAAATCTGGGCCATTCCCTCCACCCAACCTTCCTGTAGTTTTTACAGTCTGGATCCTTTTTTTTTTTTTTTTTTTAAGATTTATTTATTTATTCATACAGAACTGGGGTATATAGACCAGAGATAGAGGGCCTGTGAGAGGCTTCACCAGAGACAGTGGGGAGCAGAACAACAGAACAAACCAGCTGATGAAGTACACTACTGAGGTAAGCAGTGGACAGGTCAGGCGAGGTCTGCCATGTGGATCACCTCCAGGGCAGGTGGGGATTGAACTCATGCTGAGGTGGCTTTAGCTTCTTAGTGCTGTGCTTTAACCCACTGCGACACTTGGGAGGGCCAGTCTGGATCCTCTTTAAAGGGATTCTTCCCTAAAAGCTGGTCTTTGGGAGACTGGAGTCATGCCTTCAGTGTGCTCAGGTGGTGGCTACTGTGATTGTAGATGATCTATAGGGCAATTCATGTGCTCCAAGTACATGACAAGTAAATAACACAGGTGTAGTCATCTCCCTTGATGTTTTAGAAAGAGCATTCCATTAATACTCCATGTGTGGGGCCCTCTCTGGTGGCGCAATGGGTTAAAGCGCAGCACTGCAAGCTAGCTGCAGCCGCTTCAGTGCAAGTTTGATCCCTGGCTCCGGAGGTGACCCACATGGCCCAGCAGACTTCTCCAGCAGACCTCTCCTGTCTCCCTGCTGCTCCCTTCAGCAGAGTACTTCATTGATCTGCCTGTATTGCTTCCCACCCTGGTGAATCCTCTCATCCTCAGCACCTCTGATCTGTACCCCAGTTCTGTATGCATAAGTAAATAAATCTTAAAACAAATACTCCACGTGTGATGACCATAGGTTATGACCAGGAAAGCAAAGTGGAGCATTTTTAAAAAAAATAATAGTTTATTTTTACATCATTTTGTGCCTTTTTCCATCTCACTTGTAATCCCTGTGGACTTCCCATCACCAATTCACCCTTGTGCCATCACCATAGTTCCTTCCATGCACTCGCCCCCCCCCGCCCCCATTTTTGATCCCATTCCCCACTCCACTCCCATAAAATGTCTCTGGTATATAGTTGTTCATTATTATTCTACCCCTCAACCCCCACCCTCCTTATGAAAGTGGAGCATTTTTAAGTAACCCAAAGGCTCAAGGTAAATGCCAGGGCTGGAGTTTGAAGCTGAGTCTGTTTGTTTACTCTTAGGGCTTTGCCCTGAAATTCATGTTTCCCACTGTGCAGGTCTTTAGTTCCTTCTCAGGGTAGCTGTGTCCCATTTTAGTGAGAAGAAAATTCAGGCACAAAAAGGTTTAAATGACATCCCCATTAACTAGAATCAGGATTACCACCTAGGCCCATCTGATAGCACTTCATATCTTTTTCCCCACTGCCTCTGGAAGTTTCTAGAAACCTTAGACCTGCCCTTAACTATCTAGCCCCAACTCCAACATTACCATACTATAGAAAAGTGGGATGTGTAATTCTTGTTTAATGACAATTGTCAATTTTATTGAAAATGGAAATTATAATCCAACTGACTGTGATGAAAGTAGCCCTTATATTAAGAGTGAAATGATACAGTTTTCAATCAACAAAACTTTCACATAAAGGTAATGAAAAAAGTAAGAAAGCTGAAAAATTTCCACTCAACACCGTACAGTATGTCAATTTGAAATGCAGTGTCACTGTAAAGGAAAGATATAGCTACCAGAGACATTTACTGTACAGACAAGTAGGAAGAATAAGGTGCAAGTTTGAAATCTGTTTTCTTATTTCTCATCAAATATGTTTTTCAGTTATTTGCTGTATAATCCAAGGGGATATTCATGTATTTGTTTTTGTTCACCATGTTGTGTAATCTGTATCTCACTGACTAATTTAGACCAGTGTTTCAACTCTATGCTACCAACCTGATGGAACTCCAACATTACCATACTACAGAAAAGTGGCATGTGTAATTTTTGTTTAATGATAGTTGTCAATTTTTATTGAAATGGAAATTATAATCCAACTCACTGTGATGAAAGTAGCCCTTATATTAAGAGTGAAATGATATATTTTCAATCAACAAACCTTTCACATAAAGTTCATGAAAAAAGCAAGTTTTGTAACCTTGCACAACTGAGATGTTGTGTAACATGTTCAGCATTAAACAGTGAATAAAAGATGTCAGGGATGAGGGGGGAAAAGATGGGCATCATATGAGGTGTCCAGATTCAGAGGGTAACACCAGCATCAGAATCACGCCCCCTCTCATCATCACCAGAACCTCACATACCCGATCTGAAAAGAGCATGCTTCCCTGCTGACACAGATTGGTGACTAGAGTTAGCTAGAGTGCTTCTGGTCCTTTTCATCCTCTTCTCCCCCCACAATGCTTTCTGTCACCTTTTCACCAGCTCTTTTTCATGGCCAAGTGGAGCCATGTGGGTTGTGCTTTTTCTGCAGCACGTGTTGGCACTGTTTCCACAAAACAGCTGTCTAGAGCTCTGACTTGCACAAGTCCTCATGTGCTGGGGTAGACTGCAGCTGCTTATAAACAGATCTCAGCCATCTCAGGTCTCGGCCACTCCCAATTCTTTCAGCCAGTGGTTCCTCTGCCCCAAATGAATCATCCCGGACTCAGTCTGACCAGGCTTTCGAAAGAGTGGGTATGACAGGGTTGCTGGAGGTGGGAGGGCCTGGAGCTGTTTTGTGATGATGCCGGAGCTCAAGTTTCAGAGTCTGCAGATAAGCAGCTGCAGGGCTGTGTGTGAAGTACCTTCACTTTCCCTGTGACTTCCTGTGGAGAACTCTCCTCACTGATGAGCCCTGGGTGGGTATTTGCAGCCCTGGACTCAGCTGCAGCAGCAACAGTTGCTGCCATTTTTAAAAACAATTGCTGAATCTAAATTTTTTAAATGCTTTGGGGATAATACAAACTACTGAGGGCCCTTTTATAGAACTAATCTGAGGTCTGTCTTCATTGTGCTACTGCATCATCAGATCTTAAAATTGTGGCCTTAGAGCTTATGCATGGATTGCGAGAACCCATTTTTCTAGGTTCCAGAATATTAAAGTATATATACAGATTTCTAGAAATAGAGGCAGAATTTAATGTATGAAAAAGGCTCAGTCAACATAGGACTCCATAACCTCCCTGACCAGTG